GGATATTTTGAGTGCACTATATAGTGGATGAAATTTACCGCTGAGAATTCGAACAACACTACAAAATGGCGTGCACCCTATATAGTGCACTATGTAGGGTATAGGGAGTGATTTCTGACACAGCCGTAGTCTTTCTTGCTAGCTTCCACTTTGCCTGTTCCATATAACAAACATTACATTGCTACCTTCCAGTTTCCTCATAGACGCTAACCTATATGACCTGTGAATCCTTTTGTGTTAAATATGCTACCCAGCTAGCCTATTTTGCTCATGAGTGGAAGTAATTAACCTTTGTCACCAGCTTCCACTTTCTTTATATATCACAAACCTAGCAGCAGGTTGTGTCCTCCCAAATACTGACTGTTGTGAAGGACAGAGAGTTAAAATCTTTAGTGGCCTTGTTGAAAAAAGATTGTATTAGTGACTTGTCAACTGCTGCTGACCCTAAAAACATGCAAGGCCTGAGACCTACACAGTGTTTCCATTGATGTTTCCATTCACAGTTTTCTCTTTATTCTTTTGAAATGCTGAAAAACTGGCACAATAACTTACAATTTTCTTAATAAAAAGTGAATTTCAGTTTACCAGAAGTGCAGTATGCGTAATAATAGTAATTCAGCAGCACCAGTCATTCTGTAAATATATGAAAGCTACACTACAGAGCTACAGTTCAGCCCGGTGATCTCGTGAACTTTCAGTCGACAGTGGAGAAACTCGAATGAAATCCTGCACAAAGACAACCTGTAAGTCACTTTCTTCATCACTAAAGACGATGAAACAGATCAAAGAGAAGGTGAACTGAGCTTTTCGACTTTTAACAGGCAGCGCAGGTACAGTACAGCTTCCCTCCGTCCATGCCACCTCGTCGTAGTACAAAAGGAGGAGAGCTTGACAAGTGAGCATAAGACAGAGAAGATTATGTTGAGTTCATGGGTCACATTTCTTTAATGTGCAAACCCTCCAGAATACCTTTTTATTGCTGTCTGGGAGAAAGCGAAAGCCGAGGTTTAATGCGATAGAATGGAGGTCCTCATTGGTTTTAAAATATGCAAAGCAGTACATGCTAACATTAACCAGTGCCTACATTATTTATCCTCCTGAAAAGTGTTTTATCAGCACTAGGCCTGCTTTACTTTACTTTAAAATATTCAAATTAGAGCAGAACTAAAATATCCACCATGCAAGAAAGCAGGGGCTCTTTAACATTTGATTTTAAAATTAAGCTCACAATTTTCCTATTTTTTGGTTACATGCGGATTGGTTTATTGCAAATTCTGTAGAGCTGCAACTTTGAAAGGAATTGCCGAAGGCTCAGATATCCACAATAATCAATTTTTTTTTCCCCCCTTGTGGCTGAAATGTTGTCAAGTACTTTCGATGGCTTAAATTCTGCCTAAAGTCCAAGGACTCTTGACTGAAGGAGAGCTGAAACTGATAATAATACAATATAGTTGCTAAAAGATTGTTTTTACCAACATAATAGCAGGTATACATGTGAATTTCAAGACAACTAGATGATGCAGTTTCATAATTTTAGCTCCACTTTGAGTAATGTCTTCCAATCCACTTCAAAATGTTTTCGTCTAGTTTGAAAAGATCGTAGTCTGTGAGAAACATCACAAACGAGGTTGCTTTGTGTTCATTTCTCAGTCTTTGGTGGTTGACTCGTTCCCTGATGTGGACTTTATTTACATGGCAGGAGGTTTTAGAGAGAGAGGGAAAAGCTTTTACTGTGGTTTACATTGGCCATGTATCATTGGGCTTACTAAAAACCAAAGAGCTGCTCCTTGCTTTTTAGCACTCAATCTTTTCCCTCGCTCTTTATTCCCTAACACCCATCACAAATTTGGTCTGGTATGTGACTGCTAATTTATCCTTTCAATGTATGATATCCTGTCATCTCCTCATTTGTCCCTGAGTGTTTCTAATCTGAGATAATCCCAGTCAAATCCTTTGATTGTGTGTTTGGACCCGATCCATCTCTAAAGAAGCAATTTAATGGGCTTCATGGCACTTGGTGTAAAGTCATTTATCTAGTGGATTGGATGTGAATGCTTGTTTTAATAAGTGCTCTTCATGAATAGTAGGAGACGTGCCATTTAATTAGGCAGAGTGTAGACCTATCCCATCCCCACAACTTCTCCAAGGTTTTGTGTTTTTTTTTTCTTTCTTTTTTTTTGAAGCAGTGTTTTATTAAAGAAGGTTTGGAGCTCTTCAGATTTCTGTGTGAAGAAATAAACCGTGTGATCTTGTGGTTTTTAAAAGGACTGTGCGATATAAATGATATAAACACTGATAGTGATGGTTGTCTGAAAATTATAAACTTCTGATAACAAGCAGTCATTTCACATAAGCAAAATCATTTTTAATCAAACATATTGCAATTATGTGGGAGCCGACGGCCCACTTCCCAGAAGAGCCACAGTGTACTTCGGTTTAGTCAGTTAAACACAACACAGGCCATTGCTTTGCTGTCAAAACCAGCAAAGTGGGGAGGACGTTTCTGGTAAAAAATCTGATATTTTCTTTGCTGTGTTCTGTTGAGAACACATTTTTGAATAGCAGAATAAAAAAAAAAATCGCAGCATGTAAATGTAGAAAATGTGCAAATACCAGTGTATGAAACATTGAGCCTCATATTAGCGTGAGCTGATCATCACTTTCACAGCAGCAACTCCCATCAGCAGGCGCTAATTAACCTTAATTCCATAAAATAACTTGATGACTGGCAAAAATAAAAATTCGCCCTCTCGCAGGGTTCGTGTGTCTCTGCAGTCTTAAATCTCCCAGAGATTTGTTTTTGGAGGTAGCGTGTGCATTAGCATAAGTGAGAGTCAGAGTGAAAGGAGTCGTGCGGTAGTAATGATCACTGTGTTTTAGGTTTACTGTCTGTTCTCAGGCAGAAACGCTTGTAGGAGAGTGGAAAATATAAGGTGGTAAAGGGACAAATAAATGCCACAAACTGGGGAACTTTCCATCGATGTTTGTTCTCAGACAAAATGCGGAAAGATGTGTGGGGGAAATTCCAGAATCTGTTAGTCATTTCCCAGCAGTGAGTGTTGGTTTGTTGCAACACCGTGTTGTTTTTAGAAAAGCCTCCATAACACACTCCCCCTTCATTATGAAACGATGCCAACTTTCTACTGTTTTGCCCTAAACAAAAAGAAATAAAAGCAATGCATGTGGCTGGAATGAAAAAAAAAAAAAACAACTACCTTTGTGCTGCGTTAGAATTATCAGGTTATCGCCCACAACATCTGTTTTTAGACAGCTGACCGAGACCACAGTGAATTCACCGGAGAGCTTGTTGTTTTGTTTTTTTTCCTCCTCTTTCGGCTTCCTGTTCTGACGTACCCCAGAGCCCGGCTGTGATTGGCTGCTCACTTTCACAACTTCCTGTACAACCGAAAACACAGAGCTATCAGCTGACAGGGAGTGCAGGAGCAGAAAGTGCAGATGTGCAGAAGTGAAAAATCGCTTTGATGCTTAAATTTGTTTCTACATGTTCACGTGTTTACAGCGAGGGAAAGCAGAGGAATGTTACCAGGAAGTGAAGGGAACTACCGGTGTCTGGAAATAATCAGAGGAGGGTGGAAGAAGTTGTCTCTCAGCAAAGAGTGAGTTATGGGCAGTGAGTACCAACCACTGTCTTCTGCTGAGTCGTGCAGAAGTTTGTTTATAGGTACGTACGGTATCACTGATTGTTGTTTTATGAGATACGTGTGCTGCACTGTGGAATTGGCGGATAGTCTTTTTTACTTTGCAGCTTATTTTTGGAAAGGTTCTGCTCTCCAGTACCCAGGTTTTACAATCCTGCGATCACAGTCTGGCTCATAATGAAACTCAGAATGCAGAATCAGAGGGCAGTGTGACGTCGCTGTTTGGCATCACACACAGATGCAAAACAGAAAGTAGAGTCGGGCTGGTTGGTATAGCTGAACAACTTATCACAATTAAATGTTTAGTCTCTGTCAGGATCAAACATTTTTGATGTCAATGACCTATTTTTTTATTTTTATTTTTTTCTAAAGACCAGGATAAAAAACATTTACATCAAAACAATTCAACCATTTATCAGACAGAAGCTCTAAAAAATATTCGAATTTCAATTTTACAACAGTCCATGAACACATCATGTGTAACTTATAGACGAATCTAAGCTTTAAATCGTGTATCATGTTAAAATTATTGATAAGATAAGATAAAATAAGCCTTTATTTATCTCACAGTGGAGAAATTCACATTGTTGTCAGCAGTATTACACATAGAGAGACACACATACTGTACAGAAAAATGTACACATAGATATAAGAAATAGTGCAAACAAGTATAAAAGTACACATGAATGAAAGTACACATGTTCGTTTCACTCAAAAATTTCTCAGAAAAAAAAAAACAGTTTGCACCAAATCCTGTAAATAAAAGTCAACTGCAAGCTGTCTTTACACAGGGGGGATGTAGTATCGAAGCAAATTAGAGCGATTGAGAGAAAAATCAGCCACACTTGACTTAAAAACAGTATGCAGACACACAGTTTTCAAAAAACTTGAAATATCTTTCTAGAGTTAGCATGCAGAATCGGATAAAAAAAAAAAAAAAAGCAAAGTTTGTAAAGGTTGTAAGTCGTAAAATATGTAATGCAAGTGGAGCCCCCATATTTTCCATCTGTAGGAACGCAGCAACTTTCCTGTGGTCCTTAAAATAGTCGCGTGTGATGTGCTGTGTTGTCAGAAAACAAAACCAAATCTAACCTTAAAATTGAACCATTTCATCAAAATCACCTTATTCTACACATGTCATGTTAAAATTTGCCTAAATAAACCATTTACTTTAGGTTCTGTAAAAAAATAAAATAAAAAAATGCTGCAGCTGTGACCAACAGTAGACAAATAAGACAACAAATTTCAAATGCAAATAGGTAAATATCTATCAAGTCCCAATTTTTGTTTGATTTCTGGTTTTGTTCTATTTTTTGTAAACGACATAATGACAGAAATTCATCGTTCTTTTTTCCTTATTTATAATGTATGGCGTCGTATAATTTTTAATGTTTGATTTGTGACTGTTATGTTCTGTTTGTTTGTGGACGTGTGCTGCTGCCTTTCTTGGCCACTCTTGTGAAAGAGGTTTCAATCTCAGTTGGTCTTTTATCTGGTTAAATAAAGGTAAAATAAAATAAAACATACAAACAACACAGAGCATATTTTTGAGTTACGTCTGCATATCGCAGTGAAAAATCAGCTCACAGTGAGTAAAAATGTGACAGAAGCAAAAAAACAACAACCAGACAGCTGCCCAGAGTTCAGAGGTCACATGTTGAAGAGATGTGCAGTGATGGTTTATGGAAGCGGTGCTCTACAGTACTATGTCCATAATGTTTTGTACTGTCTGTTGTCTCTGTTGTAAATTGAATCCCATTGGAGATTACATAAATAACTACAGAAAAGACACGTTTAGTTAGAATTTAGTGAGTAGAAGAGTAAAACAGTAATCCCAGCTTCCATCTAGAGGTGCTCTAGGCCCGCACTTGGAAGTTGTGACGCTGGTGGTGTTAGCTTACAAGTCCCCCAAGCCCCTCCAACCCCCACCCCCCATTGTAGCCAGATGGCTGTCACACAGGCGGTTCCTCGCCCAGACCATGCTGATTTCCCATCATTCATTTGTTAATGAGGTCGTTAGCAATGCAACGGACAATTAAATTAACCCAATCTGGCATTTTCCTCATTTGTTTACTTTGTAGTGCACTATACAGCGTTTCAGACTCCGATGGCACCGCTCGGTTCGGCTGCTTCTGCTAGCACGCCGGCTTCTTTCTTCATGTCATTTCCTTGTTTTGTGGTTCATGTGTGATTCTGAGCAGTGGTGAATTAAAACATCAGTGACACGAGCCTGTAACTAAAGCTGTTTTCAGACAGTCAGTAAACAGAGCTCTTGACAGAGTTGGTGCGGGTACATTCTCCTCTGTGATAGCACCGCCACCCTGTATGGAAATGACGCAGCCCAGAGCTGCTGCTGCTGCTGCTGCACAGAGGAAGTTTTGTTAGCTGTTAAGTCGTGCAGAGAGGGCGACTTCAGCCAGTTAGTTGAGCATCCACCTTCATGAGAAATGCTGCTGAACACTGACACTGCTGACAGTTAATTATTGGAGTCACAGATCACGCAGACGTGTCAGCTCGGCTACGATTGACACGCCGCGTGTTTACATCTCTGTTGTAATGTTGTTTTCTAGTTATTTTCTCAGCAGCAATGCTGTTATTTAGCTCCAGAAGTGCCTCGGGGCTTGCCATAATGATCGTAAAAGCAGCACAGATTCAGGAGAGTGAAATGTTAAAAAGGACTTGTGGGTATAATTGGTGAACCTGCCATCACAGTAAATTTGGAAATCTCTTCGGTCAGGCTATTGAACCACTCAGACTGCCTGTTAGCTACACTGTCATACTCTATAGGTATGTCTCTACATGGCTCTCCATTATTTTCTGCAAACTCTTCAACACATACAAAATTATTTTGACAATGACTGAAAACCAGCTAAATTTGATATATTGTTAGACGAGCAAACAAGAAGGAAGCAAATGTATGAATTTTGACACACCGGAGTATTTGGAGAGCGCCTCACTGCTAATAGTAGTCCAGGTGGTTGGTGTCAGTAACAGGGAGGTGAAGCCAGTGGCAGCCAGACACTACACATTTATCTCAGAATTCCAGAAACCAAAAAAAAAATTAAAAAAAGTTCATGTGGTTTCTCTCTTTCTCAACTTTTCTCAGAGATATTAATGCAGGTAGAGATATGTGCCTGGTCAGTAATAAAATGTGCTTACACAGATTGTGATGGGTTACATTAAGAACTCAGCCTTTGATTAAAAGATTCTTCATCTGAAGATAGATTTTCACCTGAAGCAATGCGGTTCAACGAGAGGCCCAAAAGAGACAGGAGCTTCTGAGGCAGCAGTTCATCCCCCATTCAGGCGAAGCGCGCAGATGACAGCTAGCCCTCGCTGCTGTCTCCCAGTGTTTTTATGGGATGAAACCAGCAGATCTGGCTTCTAGCTACTGTCCAATATTTAGCTTCAAAGCTGCGGCTTGGGAATCATCACTGATGAAGATACTGGCAAAGTTTGCTGCTAAATCAGAAGTGGAAGCACAATGGAGCATAAAACAATAGATGGATCTCGTGGCTAACCCCAGCCTAGGGCCAGGACCACATGTCTGGCAGCCCGCACATGATTTATTCCACTCCACTTTTATGTCCACTCCTAAGTGAACCAGGGTGGATCATTTTCCTGCAGGACGTTAGGCATTGTTTCGGCTGCGAGTTCAAAGCAGTCGTTTGTAAGTTGTGAAGCCAGCAAATGAAGTGTTTTTTGGTAATAATTAGCAGCTCCTGATCCTTCTTTACACCTCGTATCAGGCCAAGCAGCCACACATGTTTTCTACGTCCTGTTTAGATTCTATGAGCTGATGTAAAGAAATGACGAAGTGTCCATTGAGGGCAAATGAAGCTGTGAGGTTTTCTTTAGTTGTTGTCATGTTTACACCTGCTATTTCCGTAAGATAAAAATATATGTTAATGAAAGGTGTAAATGCACACATAATGAAATGCATTGTGATTCTAAAAACATCAGTCCCAGAAAGAAAGGTCATCTAAGGCGGCGTGTCCACCAAAGCGTTTTTTTATGAACTGTTAATTGTTTGCAATTTGAACTCACGTGTTTACTTAATGGAAAAAAAAATACCAGCAGCATGACAAGGTGTTGGCGCTGAATCCTACATGCTCGCTGTTTTGTTTATGGTCACCCAGAGCGGAAAAATGTTGGCTAAAACGCTGTCGGTTTTTCACACAGCTGTCCAATCAGAGTGGAGGAAGGGCTGGACGTGTCCGACACCAACCGACTGTCACGTTCAGCTTGTACAAGCAGAGCAGAAGTAGCAGTAGTGAGCAACAGCAGAGCAACAACGTAGGAGAAGCCAGTGGTGCTGGAGTATCTGTAGCCAGTGACATTCCCAGACTAACACGATGTTTATATGAAAAATCCAATACATGTTTTGTGTTTTCTGTGTTGCTTCTGGCCGATCAAGAACAATCACAGTGACAGTGCAGTCATTTGATAAAGGCCTGTCAATTGAATCATCAGCCACTTCAGATGTACGCCGTTAGGAAAGTATATCGTTTTGTTTTTTTGGTTTCTGGGTATTGAAGATGTCCAGACTGCCTCTGACGGATGACTGGGGCAGCCGATGTGTAGAATTACCTTGTAAAACTGTATTTATTCTGCTTGGGAAGTAGTGAGATTTTTCTGCCATGACTTATGGTAGCTCTGTAGGACAAAAAGTTTGAATTAAAAAAAAAAAAGTCTTAAGTGACAAAAAGAAAAACCATCTGTACCTTGTTCAACACAGTTAGCAAAGGATAAGCTAAACCAGACTGCAGTGGTCAAACGTAATCATTTAAAGAAGACTGAATTTTAATTTATTGCTTTGTCAGTAACGTCAGCGTGCTCCATTTACTTTTAAAGCACACATTCATTTTGCCACAGTCGCACTGGCAACAAAATAAATGTGTTCACGGGAGCCGTACAGTGTGGTGTGTTGAATGCTATAATAGGAAATAAGTAGCAGCGTACGTGGGAGCATATTTGATATGAATCTTAACGCGAATCAGGGATGAGCCTTTGATGCAATGTGAAACCATTCATAACCTCTATCTCCTCCTCTTCTTTTACAGAGACATCAGAGTGCTTTATATGCAGGGATGGTGAACTTAAAGCCAGCGACCCACTGAGGAATTTCTGTGACTGCAAGAATTTACTTGCCCATCACGTGTGTCTATCCACATGGATCCAGAGGGTAAGAAGACTTTCCATGTGGGGAACCTTGATATTTTGAATTTTAGTCCTCATCAGCCATTTGTCAAAAATGGTCGGAAACGTCTGGGTTGGATTTCTACGAGTGAATAAATGCGTTTGCCATGTTAGCATTCCTTATTGAGACAAAACATTGCTGCCTAATGAGCTACCTTTCAAATAGCAATACCAATTAGTTTTAATGAGGGTTGCTAACGATGATAGCACGTCATCGTTATACAGTTGAAACACAGAGGCTAAGACAGTGAGAAGTGCCTCATAATGGACTGGCAGAGATCCAGGAAGCTATCATGCACTCGGCGATGGTCACCTACTGCAGAACGGCTTATTAACATCTGTGCTCCTCTTTTAACCAGCAGTTATATAGTGGTCACTGTTTGTTTGCGTTACACCTCCCAAAAGATACCCTACGCTCTTCGTCGCTGATGAAATGTACGTTTCTGTAGGTGGCATACATTTCTCTCTCTGTGTTCAGTCATGGTGCTTATTGCTGCTCATGATAAATACTCTTCCACCATTAATTCCCAGCAAACTGCTGCCGCTGCCAGGATTGAGTTGCCAGAAAGTATAATTACCACTGTGCACCAAGTATTTTCCCAGAAATAAAAGGTAGAAGCTAAAAAGTGAGTGAAGAGGTGTGTTGATGTGGAAATGTGAATTTAGCAGCTGATTTTCATACATCCGGCTGTAGTCTTTCACGTAAATAATAAACCTTCTCTGTAGTTACTTTGCTTGGACACGTGTAATGATGCACTGTTCATTTTTACATACTGTGACCTCTGTTCATCAGCCTGAACCCCAAAACCCACCAGCAGGTCTGAAAGGCACGCTGTCTTTGAACAATTGCAAAAATGGCACCATTTATCTGTTAAAACCACATTTAGCCATTTAGTCATCAACATGAACCAAGTCTAAGCTTCTGATTGTATTATTTTATCAAAATCAATTTATTCTACTTGCTATAGATATTTGCTTGTGTTGTATCTAGTCTCAGATTTGGATAAAAGTGTCTGCAAAATGAAAATGTAAAAATATGTAACCTTGTTTTTATTTTTATTTCCATACTTGTCCCCTCTTTGTCCTTGATTTTTTGACACATGACTGTGGGATGACCACAAATGGCTTCTTGGTTAAGCCGAGGAACGCAGAATTTTTATTTTTAAACAGAAGTGCAAAAGCTTTATTTTTAGCATTTTTTTAATGAGACATATAGAATAAAATAATTTGGATTAAATAACACTATTGTAGTTGCTGGTTCAAGATAATTAGTTAAAGATATTGTGACCTTTAAACCTGCTGGTGGGTTTTGGTGTTCAAAGGGTTTAACCTCAAATATAAACTAAGATCATTTGGATGAGCGTCAAAGTGACACATTTAAGTGCTTTAAAATCTCTCGATTTCATTTATTTATTATTCATTTCATTTGTTTTTAACAGGCTGTTGTGTAATATCTGTACAGGACCCATAAACAAATCTGTGTTTGAGACTCAAACCCTTTGACTTTCAAAATGTGGGTATTTACCTGCCAGCAAGTGTTGAAGAGACCCGTTGCATGATGGGAAATGTAAGCTCCAGTGTTCTGGGAGCTTGAGCCACTCCAGGGACTTACAGTCAGGATATGTCAGGACTAATTCAGACCATCTGAGTACTGCTTTAAATCGAGAGCCAAAGAGCAGATAAACTGAAAATGAATTTCATCTGTGTCACTTATGCACTTTTGGACAGTGCAGCATCTGTGCTTCTGGTTGCTTCCATTTGAGGCTGCATTTCCAGCGCTATATAATAACATCCAGGCGTAATTCTGTACGCGAACATGTCTGTAAGTCCTACGCTGTACACCAGTCATTATAACGCAAAGAGAAAATGTGTGTCTGCTGTTGAGCCGTCCACTCCTGTGAGCTTTGGGTCTCTTTGGATACTCCACAAGTGGTAGACAACATGCTACAGCAGACCTTTCATCTGCACCACCCAGCTGTCAGAGTGAAGAGCCACTTCCATTAAGTGTGTGTCTTCCCACTATACAATTATATACAGACACACACAGGCTCATGAAGCAGGCGCACACACACACACACACACACACACAGAGCTCGCTCTCAGCTGGGAGTGTGCGCTGACGCTACCAGACGGCTTTAGTTTTTTGTGTGTGTGAGAAGCAGACAGGGAGAGAGAGGGAGCATGCGACCTTTCAGAGTGCTCAGGGTGGGGAGCCCCTTTCCGTTTTTACGGAACAGAAATCAGCAATTGACCTGTCACTTTTGCTCTGATAGCCATCTCTGGAAAGCAGGTCATGCACATATGTCTAAAGTGCCTCTTAACCGCATTTTATGAAGCCAGAAAATGTAATCCAATAATGATTTGACTTGCAAGAGAGAGAGAGAGAGAGAGGCAGCCAGCTGGGAGTGATAGCATGCACCGTTAGCACTCCTAAAAGCAGCTTGGACAAAGGAATAAGGCCAAATTCCACGTTCTTATTTAATTTCAGCCACAACAGAATCACACAGATGTTGTCACTAAAGAGCGGGCATCGAAACACAGCAAAACATGGCTGGCATTCATTTGACTGTTGATACATACTTCAGCATGTTTGCAGCAGCACTGAATGATTATCGTCTGCGCTGAGGCAAACCATACGCTATCTTTTTTTAGACTGCCTCATTTGCCCCCCCTACCCTCTCTTCCTCATTCAGGTTCCCAAAGACAAATAGCATGGCACAAAACTAATTAGTAACCAGGAACTAGTTAGGAGATGCCCTTTGAAAAAACATGTCCTGAGGCAGGATTTAAATATAGGGACAGAGTCAGTGACTGAGTGTGCCTAGGAGATCCCGGCCTGCAGGCGCGGCAGCACTTTGACCCCTGACCCTCATTATAGGGAGTGCATTCCTGGAGGGGTGAAACCCCTCGCAGCACAGAGTACAAGGGCACGGGACGACCGCGGGGCTCGTACTGCACCAGCTGAGCGTGGCCTGGTGTGCGCCTCAGTGCCCGGCCCACCGGCAGCTTGAGAAAATACAGGAGTGGGCACCAGACTTTCTAAAAGACGAATACGGGTTTTCATTTTTATACATCTGGTTTCACTTTGAATGGTGTTCTGCAAAAAAAAAAAAAAAATACTCCTCAGAGTTTGTAATCCCAACCACCAGCAGTGAACCCGAAAAAAAAAAAAAAAAAATACTCCTCAGAGTTTGTAATCCCAACCACCAGCAGTGAACCCCATTGTCGTGAGAAGAAGAAGAAAAAATAAGAAGTGATGCAGAAGAGCTTATTATAGCTTTGATTCAGAGAGAAAGTGTGAAGAGATGAGGAACACACTGAGAAGAGCAGAAGATGACATGTATTAAATATGTTTCTCATATGTAATGAATGTGTTTGTGAGCATGCCTTTCTCCTTTTAATTGCAAGCGGTGTGAATAGTGAGTTAAGCCTCCCCCCTTCTTCACCCTCACCCTCTCTCCCTCTCTCTCTCTCTCTCTCTCATGGGTTGATAATTCTCATCATTGCAAACAGACCTGGTTTACATTCATTAGCCCAACACTCACAGCAATCAGGCCACAGTGCCAGGGGCAATGGTCCTCTTTATAAAATCACATTGCCTAATAGCAGTGTTCTATAATTATATGCCATTAACATCGATCAAAATGTGCTCCTACATGCCGTGCATATTAGCAGAGGATTTGGCAGTTTGTGTTTGTAGAAATGCTTTCCTTGTTATTAGCATCTTCAGTAAGTTAGTGCCAGCTCCAAGACTGTTGCCAACGTGTTATTTTAGTTTCACGTTTCCGTCACGTGAAGCGGTACATCGAGTGTGTGCATTAAAAACCCCCGGTTGAGTGTGTGTGTGTGTGGAACTATCAATTACTGTGGCTGCAGCGGCCCCGAGGTGCAAAACACAACATCTAACAGCAAAACAACCACATCGGTGTTGTGTGTTGTCTAATTATTTGTGTATTTTAAATGTTTGATTTTCTGTTTTGTTGTTTTTGTGTGTGAAATATTGTTTATTGTTGTTGTTGGCTTTTAAAATTGAGGGTTTTTTTTCCTTTTGTTCTTTTTTAAGTTATGTTTTCTGTATAATTTATTTGTCCATTTTGATGTTTTTTTTTTGGTGAAAGATTAAAATAATGAAATAAATAAACACATTTAGTCAAATTCTGTTGATTTTTGTTTTCTGCTTTGTTGTGTTTTGTAGCTTTAGTTGTTGTCTTTGTTGTGTTTTCTTTTTGTGCCTGTTGAAAGTGTTGTTTATTGTTTCTCTAAATGCTGTTTCTTGTATTTTTATTGTTTATGTCTTGTTGTTTTGTAAAATCATGCTGTATTTTGTTGACTTTTTGATGTGATTTATCTTTGAAATGCCGCCATCGTGTGTTGTTTTGGTAAACACTGGTTCTATATTGTTGTTTTTTTGTTTAATATTTAGTTTTGTGAGATGATGTTGTTTGTTTATTTCTTTGTGTTTTGTAAAATATTGTTTTGTGTTTTTTGCAGTGCTTTATGTTCGGACTGATTATATCATTTGTTGTTTCTTTGTTTCTGTTATTTCTGAAACGCTGTGTTTTGTGAAATATGTTTTCGGTTTTGTTGTCGCTGTGGGTTTTGTTTTTGTTTTTTTTCTGAAGATGTTGTCGTGCTTTGCTCTTCGAGGTCAGCGTACGATACAGGCTTTTAGCAATTCAATTAAATTAGCGTCATTATGTACAATGCACCTTTGGGTTAAACGTACTCTAACATTTCCCAAACAAACGTAATTAGTTTATCGATCAAAACACAAAAGAAATGATTTGTCACTTGGCCGTGAGTCCGGCTTCAGAGCTGCTGTTTTGATGGCGCACTGTCACTAAATTACTTGTAAATATTGTTTCTTTACAGGGATGTGGGAGTGAGGACAGGCTGCGATGCATCATCTGCAAGGCCAAGGTAAGCATATTGACGCGCGTGTTTTGAGGATTCAATGAGATACTTGATGATGTCTCATTCTTTAAATCTTACTGTGTGAAATGTAGGTAGCGAGCGTTTAAACAAACACCATTTAAGCCATTAAACAGTGTCTGCATCTCACAAACAGATTTAAACAGAGCAGATCCATAATACTAATGAGCAATCAGATCTTTGTTTTGCTCTGTGATTTAGCTGATTTGCCAGCAGTTGTGTTGCTTATGAGCTGTAAGCTGTCTTTTATTCCTTATTATTGCAGCAGAGCACTCGCTGCACAAAAGGAGGGTGAAACATTACAATATTTGGCAAAGGATACAAGCCATGTAATGACAAAATCTGTATTCATTTCATGAGCAGAAATTAATCATGCTTTCCCGTGTTACATTCCTAATGCAAATTTCCCGTCAACACGTTGTGTCTTGTGTTTGCGCGTTTGTTCGTATGAAATGGTGGAGCTGATGTGTCATCACAGATGGGGTTGCATGCTGGATAAGGTGGCCGCATTACTAACCATCTCAGATTAGGAAGTATGCTGTTGATGTGTTGTATGTATTCATGCTTGTGCCGTGGGTCAAAGCATCACAAGCTGCCCGCTCAGTGTTTTATTCATTGTTTGCTGTCTGCTCCTGAGTGTATGTATGGGAGGGGTGGGTGGGAGGGAGGGGGCAGATCCACTCCACGGGAGAAAATGTCACAGTAACTTTGACGACGACCTTTCAGGAGTTTTAAGATATTTTAAACATGAAATCATGGCCACACACTCGCACAGATTCACACTCTAATGAAACATTTAGTCTGCAGGGAAGTCTCCAGTGACTGTTGTTATTCATCCAGGAATGTGTGTTCGTTTCCACTTGGGGTCAAATAACAACTGGTCTTCAGCATGATGTTGGAGACTGCATATCTGCCAAAAGAGGGGGTGACTATGTTTCTGAGGTCCAAATAGACCCAGTGTTGAACCCTCCTATTTTTTTTTTGTTTAGCAGAATACAAACCATAATAACGCTGTAGGAAATGTGCCTACTGCTCCGTTCTACAAAAGAGGATACGACCGTTTTTGAACAATGCCTTCTAAGCTTCTGCTCTCTGGGCGGGTTTTTCCCATGGCAACAGTTGACTGATATTTGAGCACCGACTTTATATAAAGATTGACAACATGCCACCACTTTCCCCCGCTGTGTAAAGGTGCAGCCAAAGTATAAAAATAGGCGCTGCCATCTTGCGCTGGAGAGATAATTTGCAGCTAGAGTGTAGGTAGTATTGATCAGGGGTTTGGAGACATGGTGTGGTGGACCTGCCTCCTCTGTAATCTTGACTCTCTTGGACTACATAAATTATTTTCTATTGGACCAGGGTGATAAAACAACAGCCAATAGATGCTTCATTCATAGCAAAAAGAAAATTGTTTGATATAATGCGTGATAGTTTCACTTACACACAAAACGAACAGTTCGATTGAGTGAAGCCAACCCCAGGCCATGAGAGTTCATCACATGTTGACATGAAGCTCCTTCGTCCTCCTTCCCTCTCCCTGTGTTTCCACGCTGGTCTTTCGAGGTGGGGACCGGTTGTGGCCCAAGTGAGATCAGTCTTAAATATCCGCCACCACCTCCTCCAATGGACTCACCATTAGGGTGCGTGGAGGCCGGTGTGGGGTCTCCGTCTGGTGGTATCTGATCCAGTCGGGCCACTTGGACCTTTAACCTCATGTGTTGTGGTCATTCCTTTATCTTTGTTTAGTTTATGTGTGTTGCTCATTCTTGTGTTCACTTGCTAAATAGGCTAAAATGGTTAATTTTAATGTATGGTGGTTAAATTCAGATTAAACCTTTTCTCCTGATCTTTATTAATAACAGGTCATTAAAATTAAATGTTCTAATTTTATAGCAAAAAAACTATTTCTGTTTTAATTTACCATCAAAGTATCCTACATGATAATCCTGCATGAAAAACTCTGCACTGAACCCAAACTAATACATCCCATATTAATTCTGCGCTGTGGCTGCTGTATAAAATGAGGCCCCCCGTTATATATGAAGAGAAGTTGTGGAAACACCACCACGAGCTGTCACACCAACCTGCACACTCTCACCTGAGCGGAATAATGGAAGCCGGTGTTGTTTAAATGGAGGCCATTCTCGCTGTTTTTCCCTGACAGTATTTGGCTGCAGGCAAACACATTTTTTCGGCACTAAACCACCTCTGCTCGTCTTTTAGCTACGAGGGGACATTTCTTGCACTTTAGCAGCATCTCCAACTGACTGTTGCTGCACTTGTCTTGGCCCATTGTACCTATGGCATCGTCATCAATTATTAATGCAGAGCAGTAAGTGTCTGAGAGACATCCCACTGAGAGACCAAACAGCCATGAACAGGGGTTAGTGGCAGGCAGCGGTGAATGCTGCGAGTGGCAGCTGTGCTATTTGGAGAGGGATTGTTGGGAAGCTTCTACTGTATATTGATATGAACTCTGCTACAGTAAGTTAATGCACCACTATAATAACATTTTAATGTCTGCAGTGGCACAGCCATTTAATATTTGTCCACAGAGAGATGTATATGTAGATCAGCAACGACTGTAATGATAGTGATAATCATTTGCACTGCTATCACTCTGTAATGCATTACTGCAATCACCCTTGGTTAACATTAAGAGGCTTTAGCCATTAAGACTTTGAGCAAGCCGTGCTCATCATAGTCTCCGATTCAATGTGCCAGCCATTTCATTTTCTGTCTTTTCTCTTTTCTTTTTTTTTTTTTAAAGCGTTGAAGCTGCTTTTTCTTGTATGTTGTTTTCCCTTTTTGCAATGGGGTCTCAAATGTGGGCCATTTGTATGAGTTATGCTAATTTGTTGGGGCAATGAATGCATTAATTTCATTAGCACATGGCCTCAAAGCAATAATTACCAGAGTAGGTGTGTCAGAAGCAATCATGTTAAAATTTGCCAGTTAATTATTAAGATTTTGTTCTGAGGGACCTGGATTTGACATGAGTCGCCGAGGGAAAAAAAAAAAAGAGAGGAGAAAGTTAATGCATTCCAGTGGCCAAGGCTAGGTGCTTGTTGTTGAGCACAGTGGGGGTGGCTGCAGCATTGTGGGCCTACTGGCACGATTTTTGCATGTTGACAGCTCACATTCTGGACTAATTACTACAAATAGCAGAGGGCTAGCTGGTGCTCGGTCAATCCAGGAGGGTGTAATTATAAAAGAAAAGGAGTTCCAGAGCCGCCTAATGGCCTCTGCTCCCTCTGATTGGAGTCCGGCGGAGAAGACATTGGTGGGGAGTTGTGAAGGAGGAGGAGATTCACAGTTTTACGTCTTCGGTCCTGAATGGAGGTCAGGAGGAAAGACTGTCTTAATGAAAAGTAATGGATGTGCTTTTCCATTTCCTGTCAGGGAATTTAACCTCACCAGAGTGGGGCAGCTTCACTTTGACGGTAGTTTTTTTTGTAGATTTATTTTTCTTGACGGGACAAAAAGCTTTATTATTGTAAATAATTCCATCAGTTGGATTAGTTAGCATCCAAACCGTATATGCTAGTAAAAGCAAATGACAAGTTCTGCTAATGCATAAGTCAGTAGGGTCAGGGTTATACGAACTTTGTGCTGATTGGTTCAGCAAACGTTGGCAGTGATTTTAATTCATTGCGTGAGTAAAGTAGAGCACGCTGATCTTGTTCATTACTTGAATATGATAATGTGTGTTTGAAATATGTGGCAAATTATATGTTGCTTAAACATATGAGCACCCCGGGCAGCTGTTGATTCAAGCAGAAATGGACTCAACCAGAGCACCAAAAACAAAGATGCAGAGCTCGTCAACTAGCTAGCTTCACGTCTCTAAGGACTTCTCTGTATTTTATTTTCCGTGGCAACCACTGCAAAATACATGTTGACAAGGACTGGACCGTTTAGAAAAGTGGTTTTGTCCTCTGCAGAAGTCATCTGTGCGTGGAACAAACACTGGATTCTCTGTAGTTATGAAGTTATTGTGAACGCTCTCTGAGGCTACGATGCTGTTTTAAACCAACACACTGCAAAGTTACTGTTTAAAGGTGGCAAAGGGACGTTGACTCAGTAGATTTTAAAATGTTTTTATAAACCCATAGGTGGTGGATTATCACAAAAAAGGAGGCGTGAAAACCCTTCTTTATGCGAGCTCCGTGCTGTCAATCACAGACACAGGGAGAGTCTTCTTCCTGAAGGGGGCGGGACAACAACAGCTCAGCTCAGTTTTGAGGTCGAGACACTTTGTGGTATTTTGAGCCCAAAAAACATGAAATAGACATTCTGGAGACATGTGAGACTTTCATTATTTTGCTGAACAGCAGCACAATATGGGACCTTTACAATACTGGAGTGCTTTTAACACAAAGCATTGTTGTCAAAGCAGGTTGCAGAGAACTCCTCCACCTATTTAAATGCACTAGTTAGTGTTTTATACCACGGAACAGAAGGAATTCCTGTCTAGTGATAGTACTTTGGACAAAGGAGAACAAAAAGATGACTTGTGTATGAATAAATACATTTTAAAATATATAATTAAATTAAAATATTTGAAAATAAAAAATGTTATTTTTCATTTCTACATGTATTTTATTTCAGTATTTTTACATGTTTATTTGTTGCCTGTGTTTCTACAATTATTTCTGTATTTCTAATTTTTTTCATTTATTAACTCATGTATTCTGTGTTTTTGAGTTACTGGCTTCTGTGTGGTCAACAGAAGATCAGCGTAGGTAGATCCTGACATGCAGGAGTCATTTGTCTCTGTTGAGTTCATTCCTCGCACTAATCTTGCTTCAGTTAAAATAGTAACGCAACATACAATAACGAAGACATGTTGAAATACAAAAATAAATGAATGTAGAAATACAGAAATTGCCTAAATATAAGTTAAAGTATCAAAATATAAATTTGAAATATAACTTAATTGTGTCTTTATCACATTCCAAAATGTATCTATTGTACGTATTAATGTG